ATAAATTTAAACGAAGTAGCAGACTTTCAACACTGTCTCATCAGCGTAAGTTCCAGACTTACAGTTTTTTTCTCTCGCATTTATCCCTTTGGGAACACTCTTTTGGTTCCATGCTTCCCAACAAACTTTAATCCTTAAAATTTTAAATGCAATGTCAATCGTTATCTGCTGTATTTTTTGTTATTGCTTTCGGCACTTGATTATTACTTTTTAACCAATGTTTACCCAATATAAGACCCAAGGGCCACTCAAGTTAGAGGGTTATGAACGTTTAATTCTGTTCAAAAGACAGGGGAGATGTCTAAACCTCATTATAGGCAAACCTATCTACTCCAGTTGGAAATAATTACTGAATAAAATGTCAGATTTCAGGCGGAGACGTCAGAACTACAGAGTTGAAGGAACCAGAAACCCAATCCTAAACAGGAAACAAGGAATAAACCTCGATTCCCGTTAAGAAGGGAAACACAATTCAGATTTCACGCTGAGACTTTAGATGTATTCGGTTAAAGTAGGCTTTAATGAACCGTAAACCAAATACTAAACAGGGAAAAAAGGTTAAACATATTCCTTTACAATAGACCGAAGTGGAGTGTAAATCGGACGATAAGCGTTTTATTTAGTTTTTCCTTATTTTTTCACATTCAATAGCCCCTTGTTTTTTAGTGGTTTTACCAACTTTCATGAGGGGAAATGATTAACAAAATAAATAAAATCTACAGAAACTTTCAATATAAACCTGATAGATGTCCAACTGAATTAATCGATATTACAATATTAAATATCACAAGTTCATTCTTCAACAGTTTTATACATAGCAATGTCATACTATAAATTATATAACTTAATTTTTCTTCTTGTCGTGTTTATTCAGATTTTCTATCGATTATTATTACAAATAACCGTTCAGGAAACCTTGTCATAAATTATGATTTCATTAAACCATTTGAGGAATTTTAAAACGAAAAATCTGAAGCAGAATTCAATTTGTCAGGAATTCTAAATTGCATCATTCAGAAAAAGGTTCGTTCTTTTTCTGTTGCAAATTAGAAGTTTTCAAGTTTTGTTTAATCATTTAGTCACATTAAATAAGAATAAAAAAATATAGGTTCTCATATAAAGCAAAGAACTTTTGGGAACGATTATATGAGTTACGATTATAAAATTTCAGACAATTTAATAATCTTTCGGAAGGTACAACAAAGTATTACAATATTGTAATTCAATAATCATCGTAATGGCAGGATATTTCTCATAAAGAAGATATTGATAGTTGAACTAAGGATTAGAAATATGTTTAATAGCATTAGTTTTGTCTCAGATGTACTCTACATATTACTGATATTAGATACGAAATGTAAATTCAAAATGTTATAATTTATTTTTTTTATATTTAAATAACTGGTTGATATTTTTGATGGTTTACTGAACAAATTTACACAGTAACAAATATATCAAAAGTAATATAGTGTTCCATACAATCCATTATATTAAGAGCAATTGTTTGTGTTCACTAAATGAGTGTCCGATTCCGCCAATAATTGCTTCTCTATGCAATTCATTTAACAATTCCTTCTCAGTGGATAACAACATGTAAAATTCCAAATTCTTTTCTGACATCGATCTTCATGATCTTAGCTTTATAAAACATCAACTCTCATTGGTTTTCTGTTCAGATGACTGTGAAACAGTTATTCATTTTTATTGTTAAAACAGTTGCCTGGGAAAATTTCTTTATTGCATTTTTATTTCAGACAGGAAGTCCACTTCACCAGGGTCTCGCATTTCATCGAGTAATTTGTCATGTAGGTTATATCTATTCGTTATTTCGTGGTATATTCATTTTTTGTGTGAAATGTTTGCAAAAGTCTGAAGAATTGCAATGTCATTCAAAGAACAACAAACATACAACAGGGGCATCAAGGACACATGGCACAGTGGATAAAGGCATTGGTTTGATCCAGTGACAGGATCCAAAGAGTGTGAGTTCAATACACAGTTAAGGCAGTGGAGAACTTGCAAAGGGGAATTACCAGGAGATAACTGATATTCATTAAACACGGCACGTGGGACTAGAACAGTCTACCTCAGAATGCGAATCGAAGGGTTAAGTTCGACATTCCAACCACCTAAAGTAGGCCGGAGCGTACAACGGACGAAACGTTATAATAAATATGGCAACAAAGATGAGGACAATAGTCCGAATAATGTAAATAAGGGGCATTGAAGTAAGAAACAAACAAATGAAGGACAATATATATGGGTAAAATAGCAGGACAGACTGGGTCTAGGAGAAGGACGACTCTGAATTCAAAACCTGCGGAGGGTCGTTTGGGAACCTTGTGGCATTCGGTGCACCAGGTCTCTGTATTCGTCCCTTCAAAAAGTGTGGATGGTCCTGCACGAGACCTTCACCACTATAATCAAATCTCATGTGCCGGTGTCGGGCTGTCGGTTTCCTGGAAACTGGTCTGCTTGACCCTCATACGTCGAATCTCGACGGGAGAGTCTTATATATATATATATATATATATATATATATATATTATTGTGAAATGACAACTCATTTTGATATACATGCAATTCAAATAATATTACATATAATTTCTGGCGCAATAAATATTGTCATAATTAAAGCATCTAAACATTGAAGGCGAATGTAAACACTCGGCAAGCAAAACAGTTATATGTATTTGTTTTTATTAAGAGCAGGTGAAAATGAAAATATCATATTTATCAGCCGTTGTGACTTCTTATAATAAGACAGCAATTTAAGAAAGTATATTTCTATAGATTTTATCCGAATGGAAGCCATCTTTTCAAGACATAATCCTCAAGTAATCAGTCCTCTGTTGACTAACATAAGACGCTTAAACTCTGCGTCTATGACTGTGTCATCGCCTTGAAAATACACACTTTCTCGATTAGTCTGTTTTCCTTCTAGACATATGGTATTAAAGATGATGGATTTTAGATTGTCAAACATTTCGCTTCATGATTTTTTTGTCTAGTAATTTTTTCCCGTTTAAAGTAAAAAAATAACAAAAGCATGAATAAATGTTTGGCCATGCAAATATTTTTCTCAATGGAGAAAATAATATTTCAAAAACTGAAACTATTAAGTAATCAATCATAAACAGGAACTTCTATGAAGACATTTTCGAAATGCTGTAACTACAGTCATCACACTTATAACATTAGTAAATTTGAGGAGTTATCTTCTCCTGATAAAGCTGAGTGTTTCGCCCGTAAATTTTTCTTTAATTCTACACTCGACTAAAATGGTATATCCTTGCTTAACTTTCCACTACAAACTGAGTCCTGTTAAGTGATATGCATATAACATCTTCTATACTTACTGCTATCAGCACTAATCTTAATTCCCTCAAAGGAAGTGAACCGGATGGTATTTGAGTAATAGTTCTTAAGAAGTGTGTTGTCGAACTAGCCCCCGTTCGCTCTAAAATAAAAAATAAATAATAAATTCATCGGTGCCTCTTGCTTTCCTGTCTATTGGAAATCCTCACCTCTTGTTCCAGTTTTAAGTGCTCAAATGAACCACCAATCCCTTCCAACTATCGGTCTATTAGTTTCCTACCTCTTCTAAATGGTCTAATCAATACTGATTTAGTTAAGCATCTCACAACACAGGGTCTTCTTTCAGACAAGCAAAAGGAATTTCATTTCTCTAGGTCAACTTCTGAAGTTCAACAATAATTGCAGAACGAGTCAATCAAGGATGAATCTTGGGTTATTGATTTGTATATCTCGAAAGCTTTCGACATGGTTTGGATTGCCGATCTTTTTCACAAATTGAAAAGTTAGGGTCTCCCCGTCCAAATTTTTGAATTGATTCAGTATTTCTTATCAAATCGCGAAATGAAATTTATCTTGAACGGCCACTCTCCTAGATCATTTCGTACTAATGCAGGTGTTCCCCAGAACTATCCTTGGACCTACATTGTTTTTAATTATCATTAATGACCTTCTCGACGGTACCAGCTCCCAAGTGATGAAACAACCATTTATTCTTGTCTCGATACTAAGTCTGATCGGTCCAATAAGTCCAAATTGGCAGTTTATGTCAAAAAACGACAATCAGTCTGTTTTTAACCAGGGCAAATAATGGCTTGTCAATTTCAGCACCTCCAAAACTCAACTAGTTTCTAGTAATCATCTGAATTACCCTTTTCTGCCTTCTATATCTATGACTGATACTAACCACCAAGAGAATAAATTGTGTGCCTTCCCATGCTAACGTTCTCGGTTGAAATGAAAAGACTATAAAGAATCCATTGCTAAGTCAGCTACTAAGAAAGTTACCTCAATGTGTAAAGTTTTCTCTCCTGAGTCAATTTCACATAACTATAAGTCCATGCTTAGAATATTGTTCCTGCATTTGGCTTGGTGCTAAACCCATATATCTAGATATCCTTGATAAAATCCCCAAAAGAATCATACATATTATTGGTGATCGGGTGTTTTGGCTTTCCAACAGCCATAAAAGGCAGTAAAGCCACAAAGATACAAGGCCTTCCTGAGTGTGAACGAAAAAAAGTGAAACATTATTAAGGAGCGAGAACAATAGAAGAATAATCTTACATAATCTTTGTCATTACATTTACATTTTTGAAGATTAAATTTGGCTGGAAAGAATGGAGCCAGAATTGAGTTCCACAAGCGAAAATTACAAGAGGAGAAATTCTTAGAACGTAAAGCTACATTATGAAAAAAAAAGTACATTACACAAATAATTACGGCAATTCGAATTGTTGCTGAAACTTAGAACATTAATGATAAATAATCTAAACCCTAAAGGATTCCTTCTTTGTTATACTCTTGTTACTTTCATCACACTCTATTACAATAAAAAAAAATATTTTATCTTTACTACTTTCTGCTACTTCATATATCCTTATATGTTCAAAGTTCAACATATGTTTAATGACGATTTGTTCAATCGACGGTCTACCTAGACCAATTTCGCAAGAGGGCACACTTACGGTCACATCACGTTTCAAACCGGTTAACGTACGATCACCAAAGTTAAGGAACCTCGAACCTGGTCAGTACCAAGATGGGTGACAACTTGGGAATGCCAAGTGCTGCAACTTTGCATTTGAGGATGGTGCAACTGATAATGGCCCAGAATAGCTAATTGTAGAATTGAATACCAATTCACGCTGGGTTCGTTATATTCACTTACAAGCAAATACCTTTGGGAATGTTATGAATCCACCACTTCTCCCCCCCCCAGAAATGGGTTAATTAGTAAAACGTCTATTGCAGAACAATTATTACCTAAAAAATTTCTATCAATCTAAAAACATTTTCTGGTTTTAAAAAACATGCAAAACCGTAGAAAACAACTTAACAACATTCAAAACAACCTTCAAGCGGGTACGGCGCAAGAATGAATTGCTCAGTCAGCTGCAGATATACCAGTCTTTATCTGATGCATTTAGCTGAAATGAAAACCAGGTTATCAGAAAAATATTCCACAAATTCACTTGAGCATTTGCAAATACAATGATTGTTTGAGTACATTCAGATCTTTACTAAGATTTGCGATCGCTCTTTTTCGTTTTTGCTCGATTCTTTTCCCTCCTTCATAAAATTATTTTTTCAGCAGTTTTTATTTATATTTTCTCACACGTTTTTTTCAAGTACTTTTTTTTAATCTTGCCTAACAATTTCTGTATGAATTTATTTTAATTCTACATTTTGAGAATTTTTCATTTGAGAGTCATCGTTACTAACAGTGTTTATTGTTGATGTCGTGGGCATAAATAAATTTCACCATTCCTCCTACTACTACTACTATCTCTACTAACAATGCTTCTTCTTCTTCTTTTTTTTTCTTCTTCTTCTTCTTCTTCTTCTTCTTCTTCTTCTTCTTCTTCTTCTTCTTTCTTCTTCTTTATTGCTTTCAACATAATTTCTCAATTTCTTCTTCAACATCCAATTTTTTTCTCCAGCATTATCTCCTTAGTCTATTTTTATTCTTCTTCATTTTCCTTTTTATTTGAAAAAAAAAAAAAAACATAAAAACTTCCTATTTATTTCTTCTATTTTCTGAATATTTGAAATTTTACCTCGTAGATGTCAAAACAAAAATAATACTGATGTCCCGTGAGTGAAGTCAAGAACAAGTAAGCCTCGATTTTGGAGAGAGTATATGTGGAAAATTGCAGAGAATGATTGTTCGAAATATTATCTCCAAGACACAACACTCATCATATGCTCGGCTATGCTATATCTTTACATGATGAATCTATCTACAGTGAATAAAAGTCAGACATTAAAATTATAGTCTATTCGTTACGGTTAACAGATTGAAAATTTCAGAATCAGCAGATAAGCGAAACCTTCTATTTTTGTTGCACTGAAATCAGTTTCATTTATAAAATATGAGAGCGAGATAAGATATGAACAGACAGTTTTTTTTACTATTTTGATCAAATTAATTTTTAGCAAGTCAGATGTAATTTTATTTCACTTGGTTTGCAAAGATCTTAAATAAAATATACAATAAATGTTCAAATTTATAACGAGTTCTTTGCCAACTAAAAACACATTTCAGCATGTTAGTCCTACAGATGTTACAACCCGTTTTACCAAATTGCCTCTCTAGTGCCATTGAAAAGTAGCCTTTTATTCTTCCAGAAAACAGTAGCCTTTCTTTCTATAAACAGAAAGTCATATTTGTGTTGCAGCTACAACAACTAGAGAATGTGTAGCAACGTTTTAACTCATTTAGTGCTTGTTTATCGTACAAGTCTATACTAGCGTGACTGAATTAACAGAAACCTCACAGAAGACAAGACAGGCAGAGTTTAAGACTTTTTAATATTTTAAAAAATATTTACAAGGATATGAATCACATTTCAATCTGCTTCACTGCTGTTTGATTTATCTTGTTAGCGTATCTGAATTCTGTCTCGCTTCCGACATCTTCATCATCTACAGACTTCCTCAAAATGGATGCAATCCTCATGCGTATGTAATTCAGCACTTTTGGAAAATCGTTGCCACGATGCTTGAAAAGATATAATGAGATGTTTCCAATATCTCACTGCACATAACGGAAGCTCTGGTAGGCAATTACGGAATGCCAGAGCATGCGTTTTGTGCTCTCTGCAAGGCACTGCATCTAAAAGTTAAGAACAATCAAATCGAATATATTGCTGATACTGACATCTTTTGGTTGGTTAACAAGTCCATTGCCATATCCACGCTTCTATATGGGCAATTTCACGATAGGATACGGGCGTTACTTGCGCCTCCTCGACCCTTTCAACCACTGAAGTCACCGCAAAATCCAACAGAAGTATTAAAGTGACTTCATCACGATCCCAGCTATTTAAGACTCAGCCATATTTCAAATGTTGAAGATATGCTACATACATAAAAATTCTTATCTATTATGTTTTAGATAACGCGTAGGCTAGACAAAAATGAGAAACACTTTGGTACTTGTAAAATCTTTGACGACCAGAAATCAGTGGGTGAGAGTTGAATCGCGTAAGCGTGGAATTCTGACGGTGATGCATTATCTCTGTTTAAGTTTTAATCTAAAACGCGAAAATGTGCAATGACAGTCAATACGGCTGCGAAACTAGAGGACACATCATTGCTTCACATCTGAATATTTCCCTCTAAGACATTTTGACTTCCGAGGTTTTAGAAAATTGATAGCTAGCCCACCTGCTGAGGTCTTTTTTTTATTTCTCTCTCATTCCCTCCCCCGTTTTAAAAAGGCAATGAAGAATTTATAATTGCTTCTATGTTTTATGAGAAATGTTCTACAAGAATTACAACGCCAAAATATTTTTCTTGTAAACAGGTTAAATATATTGTATCAGCAATTTAAAAAGATTTCACATCTCGGGAGAAAAAAAAGTATTTGTTTTCTGATCAGTAGAATCTGATATGTTTGCATAATTTAATTCTTCGGAAGATTGCGATATTAAAAGTAGGATAATTCAGATATGCCCGAAAAACATATATTGACATTGTGTTTTGAAAATAACTTGATGGATCTCAGATTTTAGTCATGATAAATAAATCGCAAAGATAACAATCACAAAAAGAAATTCTTGATAACGAGAGTACACAATAATATAGAATAAATTACTTTTTTTTTATTGAACTTTTTGATATACTATAAATTTCATTAATATCTACTCTATTATTTATTTTAAAAACTTTGCTATTACTTCGAAATTAAAATTATATAAAAATATATTTTATTGCTTTCTTAAGATCTTTGTTGGATTAGTATTTATAGAGTCTGGGGATTATTCCATTCACTTAGAGGTTTTGATGTGGCTGCTAGAATATCGGACTGTCTTGCACAAATACACACTTGAGCATAAAATATCTAGTTTGTAATCTGTACTACTCAGAAAACGTCATGTTCAAGGTATTAACACAATTTTCTGCATACATCTTCATATATTTAGTCATTTTGAAACAACTTATCATTTGATGTCTATATTATTCAACCTACACACTTTTGCCATTAAATGGTATTATTCCCACGAAAGATCAGTTCGCTAGCTCTATATCCATCAACATTAATTACTCATTTATCATTTAATTTTTGGCCAAATTCTGTAATATTTACTTCACTATGGTAGTTTAGTTATATTTCATGATTTTAAATAATGTCTTCAAAGTTTTGAATCTTTGCTTTGCTTTCACAACAACAGTTTTTTCAAATATAGCTTTTACTTTTTCAGGCATTTTTCAGTTTATTTTATGATTGTTTTATCAGATTTTGTTTTTTATTTATAACAATGTGTAATACCGAACTAAATGGATATAACGAAATATATAATATATATATATATATATATATATATATATATATATATATATATATATATATATATATATATATATATTGTTTTGTCTGTATATATATATATATATATATATATATATACACACACATATATAAATATATATATATATATATATATATATATATATATATATATATATATATAAAATCTTTTATTCAAATATGTTTAATCGAATAATATATATTTATTATATCTATTTATTTTCATAATAAACATTTCTATTTTCTTGATTTTAAGTTGAAATTCACCGGGTAAGGCGCCTTAGTTTTCCCTTACCCAAATACTTTTGATCTCCTCCGAAATCACCCATAGGTATGTATTGCAAAGTCAAACTAAATGTAACTGCGATCTATGTGATGTTGAGTTTTGAATACACGCGGGAAAGCGGTCTGTTATAATTATTTTGAATTTTCATCGAAAACCTTCCCAGATTCTCGAAAGTTCATATTTACCTATCCGGATGTAAACAAAGCAATTTCTAAAGAATTAATGGATTATTTTTATATATTAAAATAATTGGAGTTGGCAATTGCGCTTGGCTTTTCTCGGGTAATAGTGTCAACGATGTTCTGAGAATATATCCATCATTAGCGTTACATGCGTCCGCAAAGGATATATGAACGGAAGCAATGACGACTAACAACAATGGTAAAAAGCAACGAATGTGCGCAATGTATCGGATCAAATTTAAAAACTACTGACGCCCTACTAATCAGTCAATGCACTGTATACAACAGACGGAATTTCAGAGATTCTTTGCGCCAGCCAACACTTATTATCATCAAGATATCGGCCAATGCTCCTCACCTGACGCAGATTATATCACCATTGGTATGTGGAAGAGTAAAGTCATATTTCCAATTCTGATAGGAGGAGGCTCTTCTTGTATCAGGAGGAGGAAGCGTAAATCTTTAAATCCTATATGTTAGTTGAGTATTTTTTTTAAGTTGATGATTATTGGTAAACTTAGTTTTGTTTCCGAACTCATAAAAGCAACTATTTTAATATAAACTGAATTTATCTAATCTAGCTAACGATATCTTCATTTTACAAGACAACCTATGAGGAATAATTATCGATGAACTTAGAAAATTAGCAGATGACACTATTTTCATCACAGTCGCAGAGGTGAAACTGAATAAAAAAAACATCTTAGATAAGAAAAGTTGTTAGAAATGACTATTAATTTTAAGAAGACAAAAGTTAAAACAAACGAGAAAAAGTTGATTCATATATATGTT